AAAACAGGAAAAATTACATCGAAAAGTGGCATATCTTTAGAGGGTGGAAGCATGGGTGTAAGGTTTGTGACGAATGCGATCACCATTCACATCTATATTGTAAAACGTGCAAAATGGTAGTGGATGGAATATATAAGCGATGTGAATATAACAGCTTTCTAAAAGAAACAACTTCGAGTCTGATTAATTTATTATGATCTTGAACAATTAAATAAAAATAAATCTGAACTGGCAATTTGGTAATAATGTTATAATGATACAATTCCACATCAACGCATGTAAAATTATTATTTGTGAAACGGAGCTCCTGATAAAGACCTACTGAGTTATTAATATAATCACGTGTCTGTGATCTAAAAGGTCACACTCACATGATTACTGTGCCATATATTTAAGTCGACATACGTACAATAACGGAATAATTTATACATAACATGGTTCTGATAGCTGATTTTGCATACATGATCGTGTTTATTTTTGCATGTATATTTCTGGAATTCATTTTATTATTTTGATTTCGATGCCACATTGATCTATATTAGCCTAATTACGCAGTAATATGAATTTAATAACACATCGTCTTTGGATACTAGACAATTTATAATTGCAAAATAAGTTCACCCAATTTAAAAAAAGAATCCAATTTTGTAAAGAAATCAATTTGTGGATTCCTTGTCTACTCAACCATTACCTCTTCCCCTTCCTCTTCCTTTTCCCTTGTTCTTCTCTCCTTTCGATATTTTTGGTAAAAATTGTGCAAATGTCACAGCTCTTGGTCGGTCTGGAGTGACTCCAGTTGGATATTTATTTTTGTGTTTCACTATAAGTTTCTGTCCCTCCCTTGCGAACTTCTCAAAGATCAAAATTTCCTTAAGAACATTGTACCGTAAACATAGAAGCGTTCGAATAAGTCGTGGTATATGCTCCAAGTTATCCGCAGAAGTTGGGATGATGAGAGGCGGGATTGTAAATGGTGAGTACAGGTACAACCCAGGTCCAACAAAGATCATTTGACCAATTTCAATATTGTCGCCTGAGAATAATATATATTAAAAAAAGAAACGTTTAGAAGTAACAAACCATTTTGAAACTTACCAAATCCTTGTGCCAAGAAAACCTTCAGTGTACTACAAACTTCTAACGTTGGCAGTTTCGTTCTTATCATAAACTTATTGATAGCGAAAACACCTTCTTTCATTAACTTACTTCTATCTTCGTTAATTTTATCTGGGTCTGGATTATTGGGGCCTTCCGACACCTCGAGCAAAAACAATGGAATTTGCATAGGTCGCTCGAAAAGCTCTAATACACCATCAGCTTTAAAGTTATTTTCTTGAACGTCTATCTTTGTCGAAATACTTCTCTCACACGAATAATAATGTGCCGAATTTATAAAACAAAAAGTAACGAAAAATAGATAGGCTAATACGTGAGCTGTCCATGTGCGTTCAGGGACGTTTTTCATAGCACCATTCATCTTTATGATAGTATCGAGGTGACTAGCGATGCTCTTAATAATAAACATATCAGGCATTTTTATTTGATCATAATTTTGCGCTGTTATGGGAAAAGTGTTGGATAGGTAATGGTATTTTTCGGACAAATCATCTAATTGATGCATTATTTCTTTCATTTTGGCAATTGATTTGTCGAAATTTTCATTGTCTCCTTCCGTATATTTCGTCTCTTCATTATTTTTATCTAAAAGATTACTTTCAGTTACTTCATCCACAACTGTGTCATCATGAATATTTTCCTTGTTCTCTTCATCTATAATTTGATCAAACAGCTCTATGTATTTATGTGTCTTTTCATTTATATGTATATCTTCGTCATCCAACACCAACCTCCGAAATAACAATTTCAACTCATCCTCATCTAAAAGGTCATGAACCTGGCACAATGTATCTTTATCACCTAAATCGATAACATGATAATTTGTAACATCTTGATTGCCCCATGTAGTTTTAAGCTTACTATAAAACGACGGAAATTCAACTTGGTCGAAAGTGTCTGAGGCATCATTCACTGAATTCACTAAATCTTCATCTGTAATATTTTTTTCAGACTCTTGTAGTGTGTTGTGTGCACGTTTTTTTGGCAGAAAAGTGATAGACTGTTGTGGTTTCTCTTTTAAATTTGACATAACATTTTCATTGGAATTTTCATAATTTTTATCTTTGAATCTTTCCAAATCATTCGATGCTTGAGTGCGCTCACTTTCAAAATTCTCCAGTTGTCTGGCAAGTGCAGTTCGTACCATTTTATCACGAACTACCGATGTCTTTATAACTTCATTCTGTTGCTGTGCCTATAAAAGAAGAAAGGAAGTAAACCGTGTGCCTTTTGTATACTTCATTACATAGGCAGGTTCAAAGACAATTACCATCAGAACATTACGCTCAGCAATCAGATCTTGCATTTTGTTATCCTCCTTTGCGTTTTTGGTCCATTCCTTGCAATAAATAAATAAATAAATAAATAAATAGATGCACTACATATCTTTTTAGGAGATTTGGAAGAAGAATATCGAACAAACAGTTCATCACCGATCGACTAGCAGTGTACGGCTTTGCAGGAACAAACAGTTCATGACCAAACAACAAGCAGTTGTTCAGCTTCTGCCAAATTAGAGTAAGTACGAACTAGCAGTTCATGACCGATCGACCAGCAGTGTACGGCTTGACAATACTCTAACCTTCTTCTTCCTTCCTTTCCCTTTTTCTAATAGACATACAGTACCTTCCAGTTGCAAATTATAAGTTTTGCTTTTTCTCTACGCGTCGCAACAGGGTCAAATTTTGAAATTTCTTTAAGGTCTTTGTTGATCTTATCAAGAGTCTGCTTAAAATTAAGCAGGTGATTATTTTCTTGGTAATATTTTATAGCATTCTCGCACGTCCATTCATCGTCCGTTTTAAAATAATCCATATCGATATTGCATTAAAAGTAATAAACCCAAAACTCTATGTCGCGTACATCTATTTAAATTTACCCAGTTGCTTACGTAATGTTCTACATGCTTGACCAATAAAAATCCACCAAGGGAATAAATGTCACATGCTAATCAGCCAATAAAAATCGCGAATTTCAAAAAAAAAATAAAGGAAACAAAATCAATCATGTGCTCTTATTTTATTGAAGTTATTGAAGAAACCTTTAACCTTTATGGCTTTGAAATTAGTTATTTGCTTTGAAATAACGGTGTTAATATTTATTCACACAATCACGTTTAAATAAAAAATTGGAGCCCAGCGGACCCCTTCTTTATTTAATAAAAATTGTTACAGAGACAATATACAGGTAAAAAATAATTTTTTCTGATTATACATTAAGGAATGTAATCATTATCACTACCATCATCATCACCGGCTGAATACCACATATAACTTTTAAAAGAATTGTTATCCCTATCTTTATCTCCATAGTAATGCAAAATCGGTTTATCAGAGATATTGTCTAGTTTGAATAGAAAAAGAAACTAAGTCCCAGGTGAGGACCCCGGACATCTAGTATAGAGGTCATACTTGTTTTTTTTAGCAAAAACCCTTAAAATTTGAGAAGCAAAAAACAGTTTTTGTCAATTATCTTGGCAACTAGTGGACCAATTTGAACAAACTTTTTTTTAAAATGAAGCTCTCAGTGAGGCGCATCTAACAAAAAAAGTTGATTCAATTCTGATCACTAGATCAAAAGTTATTTAAACAAATAAATTGTGTCATTTTCAGCAAATTGGCCAAAATCCAGTTATGACCTATATGAGAGATGTCCGGGGTCTTCCCAGGTGGTTATATTTTGAGAAAATGATTTTTGTAGAATATTTACACAATGTAAACTTTACTTACAAGGTATGATATTAGATGGTATTGGGAAGACATAATATAAGTTCTTTGGAGTATTATTATCATTGGTCTTGAAGGTGTTATTATCATTAATCTTGGGGGCGTTATTATCTTGGAGGCGTTACTATCATTGGTCCTGGGGGTCTTATTTTTCTTGTTCTTGGGGGTGGTGCTGTCGTTAGTGCTCATTTTTTCATTCTTAAATATAAAAATCATAGTAAGTAAAAATTCATTTTCATAGTCTCCGTTAAATGAAATAGCAAATTACTTAAAAAAATACAGTGCAAGAGAATCAAGAAAAAATATATGAGCAAAAAATAACGTTATTGCTAACTTATCTTATGGGTGGAAACCTGCTTATTTTATACTTCACGTTTGTTAAATCTAGAGAACCTGCCAGAAGAAAAATCACAAGCTTAGTAATTACGTTACTCTAACATAATGTCGGATCACACTTAAAACAAAGAAACCCCGCTCGGTCATAACTTCCAAATACTGATCTATTTTGTTATTTTTCTGGTGAAATTAACCTCTTTAGATTTGACGATTTCGGGAGATAGCGAAGATTCCAAGTTTATACAACATATGAATTTTGATAAAACTATTGATAAAGAACGTTATACTTATTGCTCTTATAGCCTTTTTAAGACCCATTCTTATCACGGGATCTTATATAATAAGAAAAGCATGGTCTAGTTAATCGTAAAATTGTTAATGTTAACTAAAATCGACGTTGGAAAAGTAATTATGCATTAAGGTAATAATGCATAAAATTTAATGCAGCCTATTGATTATTAAAGCCGGTCAAGTTTTTATCTCGAACTGATTATCAAGTGATCTCTTAATCTAGACCAAAATAAAAAGCGGACCTGTGGTACAGTTAAGTCATATGATAGTATGACACTTTATATTTCGAAATGATCTAACAACTGTGAAATTAAATTACCATTACTACGTGGTTGTGTTAAAATACCGCACATGTATGTTTAATAGATGGGTTAATGAGATTCATTGTGTAATTTTTTTACTGTTACCATTAATACGGTTAATCTGATAATTATTATACTAAATACAGCGATTTCGTGTTAAATTTTTGTAGCGCCAAATATATATCGATATGCAGTGTGGGCATAGCCATATGCAGTACATATAAAATAGAATAAATTTTTGGCACTAGCTCTGCTAATATTCTGCCTAATTTCTCTTTTTTTTGTTAGATAGTTTTTGCATTGATAAGATGATTGCTAGAGCTATTTGTATGGGTATGCTTAGTCAAGCAAAAAATTTCGTCTCTAATATTGGGCAATAGAGCCTCTGACTATGTGTGTTGTGAGATTGAACATGCTCATAATTACCATTTGGTAGCCCAGTACTTTGGCAAAAGTGCTCGTTTGTTCCGCAAAAAATATGCAATCTATTTATCCTTTATAAAATAGTCTTCTCAGATGTAGTTATAGCCTTTCGAGGCAGGCCTAGGATCTGACTATTACCTCCCTGCAATTTATTTTTTTTCTATGCTTATAAAAACCCAATTTTAGAGGGTGTGATCGTCAGTTATAATTGTCTTCGTAGCGAGGAGAGG